AGATAAGAGAGCTGCTACAAATCAAGTTCATCATTCATCAGCTTCAATTGAGTGTTTGAGAGTTTCTATTATTTTTATTTTATTCGGTCCAGTTTTTCAGCGTTCTTACACTGCTGAAGAACTGAACTCGTTTTGTTTCTTTTCTTTTACAAACAATTTATTTTAGTGCTTAGGGATTAAGTACTGGGTTTTGCTCGAGGGATTCGAGTGTGTAAAGTCCACGGGACGTGGCCGGAGAAGTAGTTGATAGGATCGTGTGTAGTTGTGGCTAGACTAGAAGGGAGTTCGAGTCGTGTAAGTCCAAACTATACAAGTGTGAACGGTTTATCAATGAAAGAGCTCTGAGGGGAAGTGGGACGCTTCCCTGAAGAGTTTTAAAATCTTCGGTTTATTGCTTCCGCTATTTACGTTGTTTATCCACGTTCGCACTACATTTCGCGCACTCGCAAGTAATTATACGTTTCAATTTTGATCGAGGAAAATATTTTTAAAATTTGGAAACATATTATATTATTATAAATAGAAATACGCGTATAAATAATACTCTGTATGGAAAAGAAAAATATTAAAATTTGAAATCATAATAATTTGAAATCTGAAAATTATGAATAAATAAAAACAGCCCACACAATTAGACCATTTTGATTTCATCTAGTTATTTTATGCTGCCCGATTTTATGGCAACTAAATGATATGACATTTAAAAATTAAAATTTTAAATTCAGATTTGGATCAGATTTTCTTGCAATTAGATATATTTTGGAAACAAATTAATATGAGACGGTATTATGAAGTTGTATCCATTCGGATTTTTTGTTGTAAATAATGCAACCTGATTTATTTTTTGTTGTAGATAATGCAACCTGATTTATTTTTTGTTGTAGAGAAAGGTGTTATTCTAGCTATTGATACAATAGCTAGAATAACATCTTTCTCACCAATTGGAAAACCGAACGGTCCTCCACCACCCCTCGAACCAAAAGACCCGGAGGCGACCACCCAAGAAAATGGGAACAGGTCAATGGCCCAACACACGGATCTTGAAACTCTCAACTCACGGCTAACAAGACCCGAACCCACATATCTTACCCTCTTCCCGAGGCAACCAGCTAGGTCAGCACCAAGAGACCCACGCCCAACTCCTCCCCCCACACAATCCGGCGACCGTGGCTGAGAATGACCGAAGCCGAACACCAACCCCCGCCGAAGGCCCCACCATCCCAACACAAGAACACGACAAGAGGAGACATGGAGAAAATGGATCAATCATCAGCCCCACCACCACCAATGCAGCAGATGGTGCCCTCAGACCTGCTACTTTCAAAGCCACAGACGGCGCCCACCTCCGCGAAACCACTGTCGATCCGACGAACTCCCTAACTAACACTCGCCAAGGCCACCCTGAGATTAGGGGAACACGCCCCACTGAAGAGAAAAATAAAAACCGCCTGCAGAATTGCATTCAACCATGTGTTGGTCGTCGGTACGGAGGAACGAGGCGCCGGCCAGAGGGAAGGCGCAAGAGTAGAGGTGAAAACAGGTTTTCTTGCATTCAACCATGTGTTGGTCGTCGACACGGAGGAAAAAGGCACCGGCCAGAAGGAAGGCGCAAGAGTAGAGGTGAAAAAATGTTTTCTTATGATTTGGGGGAAAATTATCGAGGAAGAGAGAAATGTTGACAAATAAGAATTTGGACACCAGAAATAAGCAAGTATGATAGACATTAACTGTAGTTTTTGAAGTGTATGCGTAGCGTGTGAGTGTAACTTGATGTAGCAACATAAAAATAAAATGCAGAAGCGATCTAAATTAAATTATTTTCAGGAAACCTCATGCTTCTTTCAGAACTCTTTCACTAGAAAATGGTTGTGCACACTTGTGTAGTACAAATTTACGAGACTAGAACTTCCTTCTAATCTAAATGTCGCTACACTCCACTTCACTGACTACATTCTTGCCAGCTCGTGGATTTCAAAACCCATTTTGAATCCCTCCACAGGTACAAGATCACTTATTCATCCTAATCTTTTGGTTGCTTCTTGCAGCAGCAGGGATGATACTCATACTACGGATTCCAATGCTTGATTCCAATGTTTTTGTACTGCTGGAGGCAAGATCTCTCATCCTTGTTTGGTGTTTCCTTTTTTTGCATTAGGGCGCTTTGTTTAGTGTTCCTCCTGCCTATCTTTTTTATAGTACTGTCGAACTACTTAGCCCCCGAGTTGTTATCTTTTTTGTGGAGTAATAGCATCTATCGTTTAGAAGAAGAAGAAGAAGAAGAAGAAGAAGAAGAAGAAGAAGAAGAGGAAGAAGAAGAAGAGGAAGAAGAAGAAGAAGAGGAAGAAGAAGAAGAAGAAGAA